TTTGGGGCTTGAAAATACCCAGCACCAATCCTATAATGAGTGTTATATTGAGGCAAACTTCATTTTATCACTGCATGGAGAGGCTCACTTGTCAAAGTTGAAATTGAATCTGATCTGAGGTTTCGTCTTCTCCATTTCTTCCTGGTAATCAGTGTCCATAGGTGTCTTGGGGTCCTCCGGGCTCAACCTCAAAGCCAGACCATCTTTCTTAGTCATCTTTTGCCGCGACCTCTCCTCCTCTGTCCTGTCGTCTGTCTCCAGAGTGAAACCAAACATCTCAGATTTCTTCATTTTTCACCCTTTCCTCCAGTGATCTGCATGGAAATACGACACAGTTATACATAATCCAGAAGTGACAAAGGTGCTGCAAGGAGTTTTCAATACAAAGTGTAGAGATTTTTTTCAAGACACTGTTACTGTTTCACTGCTAATACCTAATAACTAAGACACTCAGTAACTACCATTTTACTGGTGCTTTTTTAAATTTTATTTTCATTTAAATTGTAGTTAACCGGCTTTATGAGCTTTAAGGAGACTAAGTTTGGTAGTGGTTGTATGTGTGTCATGTCAAAATTTAACCTCTGACCTCACTTTTACATTTAACCCCAAATGCATTACAGCTTTAAAGAAAGTAATGTCAAGAGAAAGAGCATGAGCTGCTAGTCAGTTATTTACGTCTAGTTACAAGTTGTAAAAATCAATATTATAACAAACCTATTATCCGTTAGCTTCTCCTACACAAGTTTGGTATTTTGTTTACAAAGTACCAGTTTGGAATTTTGTAAACAAAATAACAAAATACAAATTTTTGTATTTTGTTTACAAAATTGTGTTTACAAAATACCAAACTATACCAAACTATTCCCTTAAAAGTGTCTTGGCTGTCTTGGTGGAGGTTTGTTCTCTCTGGGTGCTTCTTGTTGAAAAAATAAAAGCAACTAATCGAGTCCTATTTAGCCTGCAGAAATTTGAAACATGAGAAAAAGGGCAATAAAATCACTGTACACCCAAATCTGTGTCCACAGTAAGTCATCTACAACAATTGGAGGAATCAAAGTAAAGATTTAAGTTAAACCATATAAAACTATGTCATTACACTGCTTGGATTGAATTGGTTACAAACACAGCCAAGAGCCACTGTAAATAATTCAGGTCAGAGCGTGTAGCGTGGCTGCATCAGCAGAATCGGAAACATGTTTACCACAGGGGCTTATCTAATCCGTCTTAAATGGCACGAGCATAGCTTTCAGACATGTGATGTTTCCTCAACCAGTGACTAACAAAGGAGTTTTTATTTAAAACACTTCCTTGACAACAGTAGAAACACAGCACTCGATCTTCTTGCTGCTTGCTGCTTTGTGGCATGACCAATTGGTTTACAGTGTGGTTACACATTCACAGTCTAAAAGGATTCCAAGTTCAGCTGATAGTAAACAGACACTATGCCCCGATGTTAAAGAAAGATGCGTTAAGGGCCATGAGACCGTACAGAAATCTTCTGTGGCTTCTTGTTCCTCTTTTTGAGTCAGAAAATGGGGAATTACTGATTCAGTGGAAACTGTGTTATACCCCATGGACATCATGGGAGGAACACAGCAAAAAAAAAAAAAAACGAACAAAAAACAAAAAAAAAAAAAACCGGTGGGGGAAAAAAAAACATTTTGCTGAACATCATGTAAAAGATGAATTAAATAGATGCTTTCAATCACACAACTGAAACGGTAGTATTTTAAAGAAAGAAATGCTAAGCTTGCATGTCTATAAACTGCTTGTACAGGAACCTCTCTGACATCATGTGATTATGTCCTGGTGTATTATTTATGACTTATTGATCCATGATGCTCAGTAATGTGAGCCATGTATGTTTTTTTAATGCTGCACAAACATGTCTCTACAATAATAAAGATAATCTGCTCTGTATTCTCACTGAGGCGCAATCTAAACTGTGAAAAACATCCCTTTAACTGCATACATGCCATCCATATACCGAAGCAGTGCAACATGCCACGGCAGTAGCACATTCTTCATGAACTAAAGCATTTTTTTTATAAAGTGGCAATCAAAGCAGTAACAAACGAGCTGACTCACCAGACTTCAATCTTCGTCGTCTATACTGTTTCCTTTGTTTAAAAAGTTTTGAAAAAAATCTGATGTTAATGTCAAAACCACTGAGGTATTGACACACCCTCAGAGACATGGGCGTGTGAATACTGTCGTGTCTCTGAAGATGCCTGCTTAGCATTAAGAGAAATGAAATAGTAGGACCAAGGCAGAGGGAAACATGATAACCCGCCCTTGAGAAAATTAGAGCACTTTACTCTGGGCTTGAGTGCTTAAAAGGATGCTGTACTGACCATTACTGGACATGACAAAATACCACAGAGAATGCAGTGTATTTTCTGACCTAAAACAACAGAGCTTGGCTTTTTTTGATGACTTCAGGAAAGAGGAGCTACAGAGCAGATTGCAGTGTTAAAACAACAGTTAAAATCTTTTATTATCTTTGAATTTATACAAACTAAATAATCCACTGAAGCACTTAGCTGAACAAAAAAGCAGGCATGAAGCAGAAGAGCACTGGCGTGTTGTCCACAGAAAATCCACAGAAAATGAAAGTAGAAGTTTCAAAAAGGAGAAACTTACCCTAAAGAATCAAATTCAGAATGCTGAAGATTTTGGTCGTAAGTCTTCTGTTTTTGTTTTTTTTTAGTCCAAAAAGCTGCTCAAGAGTTTCCTGTACGTCTTACAAGCCTCTTCGTGTTCTCAATGTGATGTACTTGTGCGTTTTATTTAGTGCTGCTCTGGTCCTGTGACTAAATGTGTGGTTGCGGAGCATCTGCCTACCAGCGTGAGCTGTAGCTGCAGAGCTCGCATGAGACAACTTCCTTTTTTTACTTTTGAAAAGGATGCATGAGATTGTTATCGTTTGCATATGATGGCATAACCAAAACCGTCACTTGAACCCCAAAAAAACTTCTCTGTGATCTTGATCCCATTTGTATCTGAGCTTGTCATTCTCAAAGGAGCCTTGATTAAATACAAAACAGAAATGTGCACAAAGCTAAAACTCTCTTTATTAGCCCGTCTGAGCTCACGCAGGCAGAATAACACATTCAACGAAAGTCAGGCGCAAATTCAGTTATTAACACCGGTTTATTTCTAGTAGCATCACTATCACTGTGGCTTAATGCAGCATAATGAGTGAGTGAACACACTAATAACGCAGTGGACTGTGACGTCTATATGTGCCTGTGGAAAAAAAACTGTGTTTATGTGATTATAGTAAAATATGAAGCTATAGACTTGACAAACAGGTTTTCTCTTTAACTGGTTGATGACTTTTAATCTTCATAATCATAATCGTATCTCCTTAAACCAAATGACAACAAGTATGAAAAGGAATATTAAAAAAACAAACAAAGGACATCCATGAACTTTTTGAGTAGAACATATACTAAGTTAAAGGTCAAATTAAGGTTGAATCTCAGAAGAGGTGAATAAAGAGCAGTAAACATCAGAAAGAAGATTTCCCATGGCTCTTACAGGTCATTTAAAGGATGCTGCGATGACCCCCCAAGGCAGTAGGTGCTTTGTTCAACAGGAGCTGATTGGAGAAGAAATTCTCTCCTTTCTACACATGCTGCTCTTGCTTTCCTTAAAATAAAAGATTCTCTTCTAATTACAACCTCGTCTAGTCTCCTCTGTTCTGTAGTATCCTGTCAGACAGACTGGGGCAAATGGGGCTAGTCAATTTGCAGTTTCGATTGTTGGAACAATTGGCTTTCCATTTTAAAGCCATTATCTATATGCTCTGGTCTTATAAAGACCAGAGCAATCTGGCTCTTTGAGAGGTTCTGACATGTAGTAAATAAAAAGTTATGTTACTGTTTTGCTGAAAGTTATGGTCACTGAGCTGTCCTCGGCTTGTGATTCATGTGGCTTTGAGCTTGGCTGGGCCTGTGCCTGGTGTGTTTAAGTCTGTATAAGGTGCAGCTGCTGTTCTGTCCCTGATGGAATGTGGATTCTCTCTGGTCTGTTGGGGAGGGTTTTTTTTAGTGTTTTGTCAAAAAAGGTTGTCTTGGAGGCACATCCAAGGTTGCAGGTGTCATTGACGGTTCTAGCTGCTTCACTAGGCTCAAGGGTTTCAGCGCTTACGTTCCCGCCACAATTATCGTAAAGGTGATACAGATTGTTCAGCCCTCAAACTTTTCATCACATCTGTTTACTCAAATTTTGAAACGAGTCTGAGTAAGGCATAATCACATTCAGAGCCACTTTATTGGTTCCATCAAACTTTGAAAACTCTGCTGTGGGGGTAATGTGAATTAGGCCAGGTTTGGGAAAGACCCATGGCTGTTTGTTGCTGGCTGCCAGGGATGTAATTCAACTCATTACTGGGTTTAGTCTAAATGAGATGGTATTTGGTCACACGGTTTGCTTCGGGGTTCTGTGGTACAGCCTGAACCCCATTGAGATAGTGAATCCGGTTCTGGATTATAGAAATGAAGCATCTTAATTATCCAAAAGCCAAACTGCAGCAGTTCGGTCCAGGTGAGCAGGTTTTAGCTCTGATGCCATTTGGTGATGTCTCATTTCAGGGCACTTTATGGTCCCTTTGCCATTCAAGTTCAGAGTAGAACTATTTGTTTTTTAAATTCATTTTTGTCATATTAATCTGCTTAAACCCCATTACATCAGGGTGTCCCAGCCCTGTAAAACTGGGGAAGACATACCACAGCACAGTGG